AAATTTTACCAAAAAAAAAAAAAAAAAAAAAAAAAAAAACTGTTTTATAGAAGGGTCCATGTATTATAAATCGTTTATAAAAACAGTTAATTTTCATAAATTGTTTATCACAGCTGTTAATTTTTATAAATCGTTTTTAAAACTGTTCATTTTTATAAATCGTTTATTAAAATTGCTCATTTTTATAAATCGTATGCGAACGACGTCATCATGCTAAGAAAACATATGCTCACAAAAGACATTTTTCTATGTATTAATGTGTGATTGAGCTGAGAGGAAACCGATTTTTTTTTTTTTAAAGTTTAAATATCCGAATATTCAGTTGATTGAATTGTTTATTAAGAATTTAAACTACTATAACTTTCTACTTTAAAAAAATATTATTCAGGAAAATCTTTTACAAAAGTAGCACATTAAAAGAAAACACAAACGCTTTTAAATTTAATAACACTGTAATTGATACAAAAGTGCACTGTTTTTATCCGACCATTAAAATCGTAATTTATAATTTTTTTTTAATGAATTAAATTTTTAAAATGTTTTTTCCTTTTATCTAGCTCAACATACATGCTATTCAAGTAAATGTAAAATTAGTCTAAAAACTATATGGCGCTATCATACACTTTATAATTAACACCTATGTCTGATTTAAAAGTCATGGATGAACTATAATTTTAAAATATGTTGCACATGTTTGATACTAAGCAAGAATAATATGAAAATAGACCCTCATGTTGATGTTATGGTGGACTACTTAAATACAGTAATATTATTGTGAAGTTGCAAAAAAAAAAAAATTAATAAAAAAAAAAGAAATAGAAATACCGATATTTGTCAACAATGTGGGGGGGTGGGGGGGGGGTGTAAGACTTCGGCTAATATCAGGAGTGGCCAATTTCCTGAACAGTACGATATTTATGATCGAATAGTTTAAGCCTCTGGCAAGATTAGCCTTAGATGTACGGATCATCCAACACACCAAGCGTAGCAACTCTTCGTTGTTATCACTAATTGTAATCGGTGAAAACCACAAGATACTATCTTTTTGAAAAAAAATAGTTGTGAAAATCACAATTTAGTCGCTATGTATATAAAAAAAAAAAAACTTCGTTTTTGCTGTTGCACACATTTTTCTCCGCCCCCCTCTCCCCCCCCCCCAACCCCCTTGATAGAAACACTGCTCATCGGCAGACCGAGATTGAGATGGCTTGATTNAAAAAAAAAAAAACTCCTTCTTTGCTGTTGCCCACATTTTTCTCCCCCCCCCTCTCCCCCCCCCCCAACCCCCTTGATAGAAACACTGCTCATCGGCAGACCGAGATTGAGATGGCTTGATTAGGAGGAGTCGGAATTTTTTTCAGCTGACCGAACTTCTCTTTGGAGTTTTAAAAACTGCGGTTTTTTTGGTGAGAGCTGAAAACGACTCTGACACTAAACCAGGGAATAAACACGTCTGCTCTTTGAACACCAGCGTTAAGTTTCGCTCAGTCTGATTTGCGACATTTGACCCTTGACCTGTGACCCACAGACCAGAGCGGACAAGCTGAACGATGATGAGTGGAATGTAATCAGCGCAAAAAGAATGTCTGTCTCCTCACAGTTACCCCTCCCCCCTTCCTCCCACCTCCACGACCTCGCTCTGTGTACACGACAAAGCCATGCGGATGAATGGCTTCACAGAAACTGTAAGAAAATGAACGACCGTGATAAGCAGGAAGTGACCTTGAAGCCGCCCAACTGTGCAGACGAGACGGAATGATGATTGGGGGGGGGGGGAA